AACAAAAAGCAGAAACAGACCCATAAATACAGAGAACAAACTTGATGGTTGCCAGAGGGCAGAAGGTGGGGGGAAGGGGCAAAATGGATGACAGGCAGTGGGACATACAGGCTTCCAGTTGTGGAATGAATAAGTAACAAAATAAAAGGTAGAGCATAGGGAATATAATCAATGGTGTTATAGTTCTGTATGATAACAGATAGTAGCATGATGTTTCAAATTGTTGAATCACTATGTTGTACACCTGAAACTAATGTAACATTATGTATCAACTATACTTCAATATAAATAAATACATAAATAATTTTGTTAGAATACGAAAACAACACAATTTCAATATAAAAAATATATTAAAATAGGGGTGCCTCGGTGGCTCAGTCGGTTAAGCATCCACCTACGGCTCAGGTCACGATCTCATAGCTCGTGAGTTCAATTCCTGCATCGGGCTCTGTAGAGACAGCTCAGAGCCTGAAGCCTGCTTCAGATTCTGTGTTTCCCTCTCTGTCTGCCCCTCCCCCACTCATGCTTGGTCTCTCTCAAAAATAAATAAACATTAAAAATTTTTTAAATAAATACAATAGACATGTTTATAAGCCCCTAAACTTAAACACCACTATTAATGCTTTCATATATATTCATCCACACCTATTTGTATTTATTTTTTCACCTCAAGTGGACTGAAAATACAGTTCCGTTATGTTTTTTCACTGAACTTATTATGAACATTGTTCTAGATATTTATTTGTAAATAAACATCTATGTCCTACAATTTTTCATAACTATAAACACACTGCAATATATTGGGTTTGGGGGGGACCTTTTAAGATGAAGATACTAGAATCAAATACTGCTGATATTGTACACACTGATTTACTATTACACACTCAAACCAAATCGTCTGAATTCAAGGAGGCATTATTTTCAGTCTAGTTCTTATCTATCCTTTAGTATCCAATATTCTTTATCTCTAAAAGTTACAGCTTATTTGAAGTGACTACCAGAGGACAGACTGCATCTTCAAAGTCCATTTAAGTGATGGTACAAATGAATAATCTGGCTTTTAGGTTACTGTGTTTAGTTTTGGTTCTTTCACCTATTGTAAATCATTCTCCATAAAATAGCTAACAAGATCTTTTATGTGCTATAGTCACTAAACTCCTTAAACAAAGCCAAGACTGACAAGTTATAACAAATTTTGCTATTAGTCCCAATGATATTCTAACATGCTTTAAATTTATTTTTAAAAGTTCCACTTTTGAGAACTCCCAAGTACTTAACCTTAGCAAACCAATTATTCACTGTTACACATCTTATATTCAAATCAGAATCAGCCCAACTCAAGAAACTTGGAGTCGTCATGATTTAAACCAGGAATCAACAAACTATGGCACACTCAGACCAAATTCAGCCCAATGCCTGTTTTGGTACAACCCACAGGCTAAGAATGATGTTTACACATCAAAACGGTTTTTTTAATGTTTATTTATTTTTGAGAGAGAGACAGAGAGAGCATGCAAGCAGGGGAGGGGCGGGGGGGGGTGGGGGACAGAGGATCTGAAGACGGCTCTGCCCTGATAGCAGCAAGCCTGATACAGCGCTCGAACTCATGAACCATGAGATCATGACCTGAGCTGAAGTCAGACACTCAACCGAGTCACCCAGGTGCTCTAAATGGTTTTTTTTTTTAATTAAAAGAAGAATATTTCATGACAAGTAAAAAAACATGAAATCCAAATTTCAGTGTCCACAAATAAAGTGTTATTGGAACACAGCTACGCCTATTAATTTATGGATTGTCTATTGCTGTTTTAGCACTATCATAACCGAGATGAGTAGTTAGAACAGAGGCCATAGGCCCACAAATTCTCAGGAGTTACTATCTGGACCTTTACAGAAAATGTTCACTGATTTCTGATTTAAACAAACATTGTGTGTTTTCTAGACTATCTGCTATGAGGTATAAAAATTCTTTTTTTTTTTTAAATAACTTTTAATATAACAAGAGGCAAAATGGTGATAAGACAAATACCATACTAACTCCTTGTTGGTGTGGAGGCAGACCTCCCAAATACTGGAGAAAATTATGGGGATGGAGGGAGAAGAGATAACTCTCAGTTCTCACTACTCTAAAATGAAAAATATGAGAAAGTGCTATTACAACTATAGGGTCCAAGCAATTTCTAGAAACCCCAAGTCTGGAGCATGGAAACACACATGTAAGAAGTTCTGCCAAATCTCTGAATTGGACAGAACCCTTTCTCCCATTTGTTCCTCTTGTTTCAAACATTTAGAATGCACCGTTCAGAATATTGTGTGGATACTATGGGAAAAATAAAGATGACTAGATTGTTCTTACAACCAAAGACTACATTTTAATGGAACAGACAGATGTAATAGTATGTGAATTATGATACAACAGGTTTAGCAAAGTACCATGGGAACACAAATTATGTAGACCTAAAGATTGAAAAACCTTATCAGGAAAGGTGATAATTAACTAGATCTTAGAAAATAAAAAATATTTACATGTGGCTAAGATAGACCTGAGATAAGGGAAAAGTTTTCCAAAAGGAGGAATTTCCAGGACTAAAGACATAGAAATATAAAAACGTATGAAAATTTTAGAAAACAGGTAACTGTGTTAGCGAAAACATAAAACATAAAACAGGGTAAAGCTGGAAATTCCAAAAAGGACTCTGAGGTATTTTGAAAGCCACGCTAATGAAAAAAATATTCTTCCTATAACTACTAACGGTTCACCAAAGGTTTTTGGGGATAGCACTGAGATGATCTCTGTGGCAGCTTGGGAAGGAAAGTCCAGTGGCTATTGAAAGATGAACCAGACAGGAGAAATCAGGGAGCCAAGAAGACTCGTGAGGGGGTCACTGCGGCAGTCTGGAAATGACAAAAAAAGGTGTAGGCGAAGTCAGAGATAGTGACAATGCAATAAAGAGAATGAAGGAAGTACATCAAAGACAGAATGACAAGTATATGTAATATCGGTAGCAGTGAACACATAAGGACTCCAATCCTGACTTCTAAAAACTATCCCTATCAAAAGGAAACAGACCTCCTTTGGGAAATGATGAAATGCATAACAGTATAAAATGGAATCAATAAACTATGTTTTCTGGTGTAACAGCTTGTTACACACTAAAAAAGTAACGGAGACCCATCAAAAGGGCAAAAAAAAAAAAAAAACGCTTTAAGAGGCCATATCTAGGTCAACATAAGCAGCTAAAAGAAGACTGATGATGATAAACTATAACTCAATAGACAAAAGTAACTCATTAATCCATAATGTTTCACCAAAAGAGAAGGAGAGGTACAGAGAAAAGAAAGCTCTTTTTTTAAAAAGAACACCAGCTAACAGATTAGAAAATCACCAATTTGTAATCACAAATGTAACAATTGATTCAGGCAAGGAACATCAATAGATGCTAAAATCACTTGAGAAAATGTTATTGAGGAACAGAATATTCATATACACTCAAAGTATTACCCCACAGATTACTTATTAATTAAAAAGAGAAAACACACCTTCACAAAGGAAAAATCTGATGGATAATAGTGATCAAACACAGAATCATCAATAATGGAATAATTTGACATTACACATCTCTTGATATGATGCACTGAGAAATAAACACATCCCTTAGGTAGTACTTGTGTCAAAAATCTTAACCTGAATCTATTGCACAAATTGTGGAACATTCTACAGAATGGGAGCATGAAAAAAAATTCTAAAAAACAGGTAGGGTAACTGATCAAAAAGATATAACAATTAAATGTATTGGTGATAAACGACTGGATCTTGGTTCAGAACTTTTTTAAAAAAAGAACAGCTGTAAAGGACTTTATCGGGACAACTGAGGTATCTGGAATATAGACTACATTGCATGAAATTATATCATTACTAAGTTTTCTCAATGCGATAAAGATTATGGTAATTATAGAATATTCTTGTTCTTAGATACTTAGATCTGTAGATAGTTGCTAAAACTTTTAGAGATAAAATGTCATGATGTATCTACAATTTAACCTTCAAATAGTTTGGGGAAAAATTTGTGTTTATATACACCTCATAAGTCAATCTATACACACACTTACACACACACACACACACACACACACACACACACACACACACACATACACACAGTGTGGGAATGGAGAGGGAAAGAAAGTGGCAAGTGTAGGTGAAAAACTTACTGGTGTTTGTTATACTATTCTTTCAATGGTCATGTGGATTTGAAACTCCTCAAAACAAAAGTGGGGGGGTGGGTAAGAGGAAGAAGGACCTGATAGGTGAATAAAAGGGAAGAATCTAAGTCACAACCAAAATTCCCTGAACACTAAAGATGATGACAACAGTGAATGAGATAGTCTATAAATTGCCCAGGACAGCATCTGAAAAGAAGCAAGGATTCAATAATGGTAACTGCTTTTTTATTTCTATTTTTGATCACCAAGAATGAGGAACACAAGAAACATGAGGAGGAAAGATATTAAGTTCAATTTTACAGATAATGGTTTGTGTTGTCCAAGAACACGCATCTGGACAAGACCAGCTGGCCACTGAAAATCCCAGTCTGAAGTACAAAACAAGTCAGAACTGAGAACATTCTAGAACTTGAGCACTGAGAAATTATGTATAAAGCAAGATGACACCAATCAGGAGAAGGCAAGGAATAGAAGCTAATATATAATATGTACACTTGATATACTTTATATCATTTAACAAAGTATATGAAGATAGGGAATATGTGGATACTTTGAAATTAGTTAAAATTCAGACATTAGCAAGTCACTGATAACTAAAATGCAGAAAATTATACTTTTCATCAATTTTAGTGAAGTTTAACACCAAAACAATTGCTATCATTAATTTATAAGTGAAACTGAAAAAGGTATCATTCAGGTTGATCAGTATTTGTAACATCAGATACCTTCAATATTTAAATTTATATTACATACTGAAAAGAAATAGCAGGTCATAAAAATATCCTAAAATTTTTTAAATAACCAGGAATAGAAGTAACCACTTTAAAAATATTTTCTGAGGATGATTTATTTCCCCCAATTTAGGCAAACAGGTGTACAAATGATTTTAATCATTAAGTAAGATTGCTCTGTAAATCAACTGCACCTGCATAATTAAGTCTTTCTTATAAACATTTTTGATGAGTACTATACTAGAAACATAAGATTTCTAAGTAAGATAAATATATCTTGAATTAGAGATAAATGCTTTTGTGCCATCTATGCCTACAACTTAGAACAGAAATAACTGGTCTACTTGTGGGTGCCTCATCACCACACTCAGTACAGCACTAGTGTCTTTTCCTCTCGCTGACAGATTTTATGTGACCAGAAAAGGAAAAATGCGAGTATACTATTGCATGAAGTTTGGCTCTAAAGTGACTGGAATGTTTTTTTATGTAAGTGACTAGAACACATATCTAAATGATACTGTATGTTACAGATGAAACTACACACTTACTCCAACAAGGCTACCATTGTTAACCCTTGCTGGGTTCATCTTCAGAACTGTTCACACAACAAGTACTACCACCATCTTTCCTTATTGCTTTATGGTCCCATTTTATTTTTTTTTTATTTTGTTAATGTTTATTTATTTATCTTGAGAGAGAGAGGAAGAACGCATGCATGCACACACAAGCAGGGGAGAGGCAAAGAGAGAGGGAGAGAGAGAATCCCAAGCATCTCTGCACTGTCAGTGCAGAGCCTGTCTCAGGGGCTGAATTTCACAAACCACGAGATCGTGACATGAGGTGAAATCAAGAGTTGGATGCTTACCCGACTGAGCCACCCAGGAGCTCCTAATTTTATTTCTAACCCAGCCTCATTATCCACCTTATGGGCCAAACTTGGTTCATTTCTGCCTGAACTGCAAATAACCAACAGAATATGCTATTGCTCTGATGACAATTACAAAGGGCAATGGGGAAAAGGTCTTGAACTCTTGCAACATCATTTGATCCAGCATAAAATTTCCCAAAAAACAACCTTAAAAAAAGAGTCACAATTATATGTCATTTTTAAAAGCATATGACATATCTTAAATCTCATAAGGTTAAGGTCTATGTTTTGCTAATGAAAAAAGATAATGAGTGCATTCTAGAACTATACAGTAATATATCTAGGTCATGTGCATATATTGCAATGCCCTCCCCCTAAAAAAGTTACACCTGGTTTCCCGCAATACATGCAAGCAGCATACGAGGACCAATGTGATCAGAGTGCACTTTTAGGGAAAACATTCGTCCTTCTATCACAGAATCTCAGCGTTTCTTTTCTTTTTTTGAATTACTAGTCCCTTAAGAAGTGATACTAAGTTTAAAACATGACAGGAAGAAAACTCTCTACAAAAAACTCGTTGCCTTTGCTAATGTGGAAGTAAGAGGCGTTCTCCATTTGTAGTCATCCCTGACCTCACCATCAACTCTGCTTCGAAAAGGACTTACACATGTCCTGGCCCATACTCTCCCTCCTTCCTTCTGGAAGATTAGGATGCACTCTGCTGCCACACCACAGCACAAGGCTGCCATCTACAGAACCATTGAATCCATTCAGCACTACCCAGGGAGAGCGAGAATCAGCTTAAAACAAATGCTGCCTTCTGTAGATCTGACAAAGGAGCCTACCGGTAAGGAATATATTTATGCCTGGACACGCCAGGTTTAACTCTCTGTTTGGGATATGTACTGATGACTACCAAAATGGGGACTCCGTGAGCAGCAACCCTTGCTGGGATTGCTGGACACTTGAGAAAACAATGAGGGTTTGAAAAGCATCACAAATAACATGAGACTTGAGGCAGAGCAACTTCTCCTAACTGTACTTCAAGCTTTTATCACAAAGAGATAAGCAGACAGGACAGACAGAAAGATATAGCGGCAAATCCACTGGATACAAAGTGATTTTCCTAACTTTCTACAAGACAGCCTTTCTTAGTGGTATATAATTGCACAACTGTTAAAAACATGAAATACCCAAAGATTTTTAACTTAGAACCCGCTCTATGTTCATTTCTCCTGCCCTCCCCTTCCCCTTCCCATTGTAAGCAGGATAATAATTTGACTCTGGAACAAACAACTAACTGCCATTGATTAGGCTCCCTCCAGTAACTTTTCTTTCATTACCACTTACGTAAGTGAGGGATACAAACCATCCATCTGTCATGAGAAAACGCAAAGGATAAATAGCCTTTACTGGGACCGCTCATTTCAACCACCACTGATTGGTCATCTCGTGTGAAGGACAAGAAGAAACAGGCACGCTCCTTCTCTGGGTCACAGTTCAAAGGACTCCGAATACAGAACTTCTTGTTCCCACAATCTGAAGCACTGAACTAGAAAAATGACAGGGAGAAAAAGTCTTAATTACCAACCAAACAGTTCATTTCACAATGATAAAAGAGCCACTACCTTGAAGTACAAGTTTTAACAAGAGTATCTTTTCATAATAAAGATTCAAAGAAGGAAACAAATAACACATCCCAAATTAGACATGATCAGAGCAGTAGTTAGGTTGTGAACTTTTAAACTTAATTAATTTTGATTAAAATTTGGAAGACACAACATTAGTTGGACTATAATGTGCATGAGTATTAAAGTTCCTTTAATACACAAAATATTTCACATCAATTATGTTCTGGAGCATAGTTTCCAGTAAATTTTGAAAAACACCTTAGGGAATATTTAAGCCCACACTGACATTCTTGCCTAAAAGATATCATTAAGTTTTTAGAATGAACTTTTAAAAAGTAAACAGACAAACTCACGAATTTTTATATTCAGATCCTAGACTCTGCATCTAGAATTCAGGTTCAAATTTGATATTAAAATAATGTAAGAAAAAATGGTTATTCCAATATATGCTAACACTCTAAATAATAGTAATACAATTTAGTGGAGGAGAAACAGGAACAATTTACAATGATTTAATTCAGAGCTTCCTTGTTATGGCAAATAAGAGGACTAGCATCAAAAATCTCAGCTCCACAATTTGACGGTACAAAAATGCTCAGTCATCTTGTTAGAATGCGCTATGACAGTGTATTTCAAAAGGGAGTTAAACATCATGCGTCTAGATTAAATGGGAACTGTATCCAAACACCTCTCATTTCTTCTACTCTACCGACACTTCTGGCCATCCAGGGTGTGGCGGGTTTTCCCACATTAAGCAATTCTGCAATTCTCAGTGGACACCAAGCACAAGTCCTACTTTGCAATTCCATTCTGACACAATCTACCTGAAGGTAGTGTCCAATCCTACAAGTTAGGGGCTCAGTCCCACAAGACTGTTTACTTCAGAGGCCAACCACAAGGTCCAGGTTCCCAATGAAGGAGACTAAAGGTTCCCATGACCCTCTCCTCAAGTTTGATAATGTACCAGGATGGCTCACAGAACTCAGGAAAACAGGTTTCTTACTAGATTGCCAGTGTATTATTACCCGATGAAATCCAGAAACAGGTGGAAGAGGTGCACAGGGAGGGTATGTGGGCAGGGCAGGTGTGTGGAGCTTCCATGCCCTCTCTAAGGCACCATCCTTCTAGCACCTCCATGTGTTCAGCAACCTGGGAGCTCTCTGAACCCCATACTTTTGGGATTTTTTATGAAGCCTTCATGGAGGCATGATGGATTAATGACTCAATTTTTAGCCCCTTGCTCATCTCTGGAAAATGGAGAGTGGGGGGCAGAAAGTTCCCAGTTTCTAATCATGGCTTGGTCTTTCTGGTGACCTGCCCCCATGGACGGCCCACCCATTAGAGTAAAAGGCATTCCTATCACTCAGGAAATTACAAGGGATTTAGGAGCTCTGTATCAGGAACTGGGGTCAAAGTCCAAATATTAGCAGGAACCACAGCAGAAACCAATACACATTTCTTATTATTTCACAGCAACTTAAAGAAAGTCACAGTAGAACGGAAAAAACCAACCAGTACGAAACTTGCATTTTGGTCTCTGCTCTCCCCTTTAGTCCATCATGTTTGCTGAAGAACTTAACTGTCTCTCTTGTATACCTTCAACTATACAGGGACTGAATTCTGAGGTCTCTTCTAGCTCTGTATGAATGCTATAATCCCATGACTCTGAATAAACCTTTCTATAATCAGAGATTATAAACCTGGTGTAGAGATACCATAAAAGCTCCGGTGAGAACTAATGCCTTTTATGTGAATATATGGAAAGATTCCTCTTAGGAAGCTCAGGTCCAGACTGACTATTTACCCCCCTAAGGCAGCTTTAAAATAAATAAACATTAAGACTAAGTAAACTAGAGCTAGTGCAAATAAAAAATCTAATTGTATGGTCAAAAGTGTAACATTCATAATAATGCAATCAAGTATAATTATATATTGCAAAATGTAGAAGGAAAACAAAATGAGACAGTACATAAAGAGTACAAGTGCTTTACTTAGTCTTCCTCATGAGAACAAAGAGTTATAAAAAGACAAAAAGAGAAGGAAAAGAAAAAAGGAACTAATATTTACACAATTTCTATTAAGTGCAAGGCAGTTAGAAACCTTAAAATCATTACATTGTTTAATTCTCATAATAATACTAAGAGCTGGATATTATTACTTCTCATTTTATAGGTGAAGAAACTGAGACTTTGAGAATTAAGTAGCTTGTCTAAAGTCACACAGAAAGTAGGCGAGACAGGATTCAGACCCGAGTTTGTTCTTTTAACTGTAATAACCTGCCGTAAGACACTTTTCATTATTTTCACTTCTGAACTAATAAGTCTCATTTATCAGAATTTCTTTCAGTAAAACCTAATGTTATTAATATGCACTACCCTTTACAAGATATGTTTTCTCAGCCACAGTTCTTTTGAACCCAAGGGCCTAAACGGAATTCTAGCTGATGAGTTTGCAAAAGAGCTTCTGTCGTTCAGCACATAGAATCCCCCAGTACTCACTGGCCTTAGTGAAATCAGATCTAGGAGTTACATCACCATTTCAAGATTCTGCTCCAAATCTTGTCTAAATTTAGCTTAAGCTTTAATGTTCCTCTCCGTGTTTGATATTTGGCTGTACAGACTACAGAATGTCATAACCACACCTCGAACATGCAGGGTGTTGCACTCCCTTTATCCTGACCCATAAGTCATAATGTGGCAATAAAGACTTCCTTCAGATTTCCTGCAGAGGTCCCAAAAACTCACTGCCACAACCCGGCACAGCTACTTCTCTGCATACTTCAGCAAGTACAAACCACAATTTCCAAAGACACTGTTCTTTTAGCTTGCATCTGGTGAAACCATGAAAAGGTTACTTACTGATTTGGTTAAATGGGATACAGGAGGTAATGTTGACAAAGGTGCTACTGTAGCTTCAGGTGTTGTAAAAGGCGGTGCATTGGGCTGTGAAATTACAGGGCCAGGAATCTTCACCCAGTAGATTTTATACTTCTCAACAACTGTGACTCTGAAATGCAGTACTAATGAGATCAAACAGAACCCTAATTGTGGCCCATTATAATTGAATCAAAAAAAAAAAAAAAAGATAAAAAGAAAAGAAGTAAACTTGGGACACACAACTTAATACTACCCAACAGTACCACCAATTTTGTCTAAGACAAATCTCTAATGACTCTTCTACCTCATTACTAAATGAACTTTTACTGCCCTTGTTCTCTTGCTTACTCTTGATCTTTCTTTTCTTCTCTTCTCTCCTCCTCGTCTGCCCTTTGGGCATACTCCCAGCAGTCCATGAGTGCCAGATAAGGACTAAAACGCACAGACTTCTATTCCCTGACATATAAAGAACATACTACTGCTACTTATTTCATAGTGTGCTGTTCAAATTATCCCACAGGGCATATGTAGCAGGCAGCTACAGCAAGAAGTCAGATAGAGGCTGCATAAGCAACACCAGATCTTATTGGCGTCACAGTCCTCTTCCACATTCCACACCACACACAGGTGCAAAGCTGTGTTTCTATGTGCTAGCACTTGCATACATAGTGAAACAAAACATACAGACATGTCAGGAGACTAATTCTCCTTAAAATATACATCTGTAGGGGCACTGAGTGGCTCACTCCCTTATTCAGCTCAGCTCATGATCCCAGGGTTCGTGAGTTTGAGCCCCACATTGGGCTCTCTGCTGTCAGCACAGAGCCCACTTCAGATCCTCTGTATCCTTCTCTCTCTCTCTCTCTCTCTCTCTCTCTCTCAAAAATAAACATTAAAAAAATTTTTTTTGATAAAAAAACATATATATGTCTCTAACACCACTCAGTTATCATTAAACTGTTTTATGACATTCCACTTCCCCTTGCACAGAGGATTAAGGGAAATGGACTTCTAATCCTACTGAATTTCATAATTCTGAGGGCATGAACAGTCTTACTAATCTAATATGCAGGTTATAACACTACAAAAATGTCATCCAAATTTTAGGAATTTTTTCATACTATCATATTAAGATAAGAACAAATCTAAAAAAATGTATTAGTCCATACACCATATATGAACTCAAGTAAATATTAACTAATGCCTCTTAACATGAAGGCACCACAATATTTAATTCACTCAACAGATATGTATTAAGCACCTATTAGGTGTTAGGTCTTGGGCTCGGTGGAAAAATCAAATGAAAAGCAAAACAGACCAAGGTGGTGTCATTCTACACCAAACCACTCTTATACAGGTAAATGTCCAATAGGTATCAAAAATGACACAGACCATTATTTCAATTTGATTAGTTGCAGATTTGTAAGCTCTCCCACTCACAGAAACTTTATGTGATTCGGAGAATTGCTTGGAGCATTCCAGTAGACTTTAATTTTTGTTTTCTTGGATGGATTTGTGTGACTCACAGCATATCCCTGAAACAAAATGGAAAAGAACTACCATTCACTCACTCCGTAGTTGAGCATACTGAAACTACTGTCATTTTGCAAAGTAATCTGTCATGGCATGATGCTGGCATTCTGATAAATACGGTTTTATTTAGAACAGAGACTCAGGTACTCAACAAATACATGTTGGTTAGTCAACACCAGATTAGCAGCTGGCTCTGTATATAAATTAGAGTCAGCAGAAATTTAAGAACTGAAAAGAGTTATGAATACTGGGTATGTCAATGCTACATAGAGTCTGCTCATTATTTAATTTATATTATAAATTAAAACTCCTTCCATTAACAGATACAAAGAAAATCCAAAAAATTCATCAAAAGAAAAAATTTCTGCCTCCACACATATAGCATTATATTTCAGTAATTCCTTTCCCTTGAACAATCTCATTTCCCACTTTCATTCACCTGGCAAATTCCTACTCATTCATTGAGGCCTGACATAGAGATGACCTCCTCCAAGAACCTCTCTCTCAATTCCCTCCAGCCTGTGTGTGACACACCCCGCTATGCTTCTCACCCATCCTGTGTATGCTTCTAATTTAAGTCACCACAATGTTCTACTTATGTGTCTGTCCTATATTCCTCATGTTCTCCTTATGTATCATACATCACATGTCCATATGTTCTACTTATGTGTAAGGCTTTCAGCTCTTCAAAGAACAGAAGTAAGTCTTGTTCGTTACCATATCCCTTGCACCAGGATAGTTTCTGGCATAATAAATGTTTATTAAATCAATGAATGAATGACAAAAATGATACCTCTGTCCCATTCTAGCATCCTATCTTCAATATTAACACCCTTTAAAATCAATATAATAAGAGTCAATATTATATAAAATATCAAAAGCTATAAACCCTTCAAGCTACTGCCTTTTCTCGGATGCTGATGTGTAAAAACATATTGCAAATAGGAAAATTAGGGGGAAAGCTTGATCACTGTGAATCTATTTAGATGTCTGCAAAACATGGGTAATGTCATTATCTCAGAACCCTTAGCTTATAATGAAAAGATCCATGGAAACTAACAAATCAGTTTCAAACATAACACAAACCTGTACATCCTCACAGGTCAGAAGCTGCGACACTTGACTGTCAATCAATGTGAAGGAGCCAACAGGAAGGCCACTCAAATCCTCAGCATTACGTGCTTCTAAAAGAAAGCCTCTAAATGGTAGCCCTGACAAAGTAACTGAGAAACAAACAAAAAAATAGTTTACGATAAGGTTTAGCAACATCCCCAAAAGAAAACTGTTTAGAGGAGGCATCTCATAGTTAGAATCTAGCATATGTATACAAAACTACTCCAGGAAAGAAAATGGTATAAATAATCCCATAGACAAAGAAGGTCTAAACTATGTTCCACAGGACATTCACTCAGTGAGCTGTTAATAGCCATTCCAATTCTACGGGGAAAAAAAGCTAAGTGATGGTCAGGGAGGTGTCCATGGAGCCAACTTAGTTCAAAAAATGCTGAATGAAAGTAAATATTTATTTGTTTACTAAAAACCCCCAAGGCCTTTAACATCCTATTATACAGTATGAAACTCTCAGTATATACAACATACAGTGTTCCAAACTGATTTTTCCATACACTGTTTTTGTCAGAGTTCATTAATATTTTGTATTTCTGGAGTTGCATAAAATAGTTTGCAAAACACTATTATAGATACACTTTTGACAATCAGCCTACCTTTCACCCAAAGAATCAGAAAAACATAAGAATTTACACTATACCAAGAAGAATAAGGGTTTATTATACCTTAAACCAGATAAAATAAACTTTATTTTCCTCTTCTATTGTGTTAATAGTATTGGTTAAAAAAGATACATATTAACTAACGATAAAAATGTATTTAAAACCTATTCTACTTAGTCTGACCTCGGCTCAAGTCATGATCTCGCAGTTTGTGAGTTCGAGCCCTGTGTCAGGCTCTGTGCTGACAGCTCAGAGCCTGGAGCCTGCTTTGGATTCTGTGTCTCCCTCTCTCTCTGCCCCTTCCCCACTCGCACTCTGTCTCTAAAAAATAAATAAACATTTTAAAAAAAATTTTTTGAAACCTATTCTGCTTAGGGAGTAGATTTACTACTTAAGTAATACAGTCATCTATAGTATTTAAACACAAAATGAGAAGTGTAAGATGATGGTATCTTATGGAAACAGGTGAATAGATTTAAATGAAACTGTATAAATCCAACAGTAATAAAGATTCAATGTACAGGAAAAGAGGGAAACTCAAAATGCAAAATAGTTAATTCCAACACAGTACCTTCAATCTGGTCTCCTGGTCTGAATGTCATCTGACTCACTGAAACGTTGTGAACAGGGTCAGAACGTGCAGTATGACTGTGTTCAGGAACCATTCCATGGCATGACTTTCCTACTTTTCCGCTGGGATAATTAGCCACAGAACTAACGTGCAACACAAGTATGAATGCACCAAAGGTAAATCCAGGAACTGCCATCTCAAAAAAAAAAAAAAAGAAAAATTAAAAGCACATTATTTTTATACATAATTAAAATATAAAGCTTTCATATGACAGAATATTAATCCCAGAAAACTTGCTTTCAACAGACAGCTAACCATATTCTCAAAAATACATAATAAAAAGAATGTGATATCTGAAGTCTGACCTAGATTTGAATCTCGGCTCTACCAATCACCAATGATGAGACTTTAACCAAATCACTCAAGCCTTCATTTCCTTCCCTGAAAAATTAGGAAACTAACACCCACCTTACAAGTTGTTTTAATAAAATGAAGATACAAACTAAAGTCTGACAAGGAAGATATTTAAATAAATGTTAGTTTTCATTAGCATGATTTTCGCTAAAAGCAAAAGGTTCTATTTCACCTTATCCCAGGAAGCTTAAAGAACAAATAGGAAATGTTTCTTCTGGATTTAAATACCGTCACCTAAATAAATATCTGGTATGACTTCTCTCAACTTCCCATTACATTAATCATGATGACAGGGTGGATAATTTAATTTGTAATACTGAAAACTGAGGATAACAGAAAACCAATCACAAGAAACAATATTTCTATTACCTTTAGCCCAGGCACTTCTGAATTAAGAAACACAATTGTCAGTCCAAGCAATTTTCTTCTCTCATCCAGTACCTGCCTCTTACCATCTGCCTAATAGAAAACCAGCTACTTTATGTCAGTCCCACCCTCTGGTAGCCTACATCAACCACTTCAATTGTTGCTTATATTCAGAACCTGCCAATCACAGCAAATAACAAGGCTTGAGGAAGATGGCAGGGACATGTTACACAGCAGTAAAGTCAGCCGATGAACAGACCCCAAGAAGCAGTTCATTCTCCATACAAATAGATTAGACAAAATAAAAGCTCCCTTAGAATCACTAGAATAAATGACCCTCTTATAGTCATGTAAATTACAATCCCCACATTGGACCAGAACTAAACTACAGAATTCCTGCTAGACACCAGAAATTATGCCGGGGGCTACACATTTCAACCAGCTCTGCACCTTACAGCAGTAGCCACCAAGTAGATAGCATAGGGTCTAATAGTACTATATACCCCTATCTTTCATCAAACATCAAGCTAGGTAGAGTTTCTCCCATTTAAAAATAAGAAGAACAAGTAAATCAAGAGCTTCTGAAAAAATATCTATAAGAGAAACAGAAAATTTCTCTATACAGTCATAAGAAAAGCATAACTTTGAAAATGGTTGATTACTATAAGAAACAATATTTAGGAAAACAACTGTCTTAAACATACACAGTGATATATATCAACTATTTCTCAATAAAACTGGGGCAGAGGAAGAAAAGGAAGACTGAAGAGTGGAGAAGAAGGAATTTTTCTATTCAAACGTGGCTTTCAGGTGCCTTTGTTAGAGGCAGACCTGATTTTAGGACCACGCAAGATTTGCTGGAGAGGATCAAGGTCATAGTTTTAACCACGTGACTGTGGCCAATTATCATGAAGATTAAATGCAGTAATGTGCTACCCAACTGAAGGATAGTATAAGGGAAAAGTCAGCCCAGTTTAGCAAATACTCATTTGGCACTGACCTCCTGTCAGGTGAAAATGGAAACAAGACATAATTTCTAGTCTCTGCTTTGCACTGCATAGCTGAATAACGTCAACCCAGTTATATAATCTCTGTCTTTGCTTCTTCATTTGTGAAATATAGTAGATAAACCAGAATAAATTCAGGATCGCCTTCATGCCTAACATTATGATGTTAGAAAGCAAAGTGGGAGTACCTGGGTGGCTCAGTCGGTTAAGCATCCCACTTCAGATCAGGTCATGATATCACTGTGAGTTTGAGCCTCGCGATCGGCTCTGCTCTGACAGTGCAGAGCCTGCTTGGGATTCTCTCTCTCTCTCTCTCTCTCTCTCTCTCTCCTCTCTCTCTCTCTCTCTGCCACTACCCCACTTACTCTATCTCAAAATAAATAAAAACTTAAATTAAAAAAATTTTTTTTTAAATAAAGAAAAAGAAAACAAAGTGGGAAAGGATACCAGGAATTAGCAGAGCAAGAAGTATAAGCCAGGAAGGGGAAGTGACTAAGCATCACCACCTGTCATTCATTAGGAAAATATAACAAATCCAGTCAGGAAGGGAAGTAAACCAGCAATTTCTTTGTTCTTGGTCAGATGCTGACTATTCAAGGTGCAGCTCTATTGTCATTACAATGGCTAATGATGATTTTCCAGTTACGATTTAAGGAACAGCCTTTTTTCAAAGTAATACTTTAATTCATTAGCCAACCAATGCCAACAGATTGCCTAGTTATGAAAGGAAATAAGGAGTTATTCATGGAGACATTTAAGTTAAAATTACATAATGTGGATAATGAACTATTATGAGGTCTTCCTTCAAGCATTGAAAGAACTCCCACCAATTTTGTATTATTTTTAAAGTTTTACATATTCCCAATCCACAGTGGGTACAATATAGAAAATAAAACAAAAAGATATCATAACTTGCATTCATCCCATGACAAAGATAGACCTATTAGTTAAAGAATTAAAAGAAAAGTTATCCTGATTCTAACTTAAATATTCCCAAACCTGATGAAAGATGCCTGAAAAACAAGCAATTAGTAAAAAGGTATGATGACTGCTTGTACCATGTTCTACATACATCTCACACAACAGCAAAAAATCAAAACAAATGTATTCTTTATTATTTAAATACCAAATGATTGTACTGGCATGAATATTTAATTATTATTGTGATTGTGGACCACAGAGGCAAGTGATATTTATCAAGACAATATATTTAAGACACCAAAGTAAAATTCAGATAAAATGAGAATTCAATTGAAAAATACTTAGATGTAAGAAAGTCATTAGAATAAGGAGTCTATGTTAATTAAGAATTTTTTTAAATAAATTGGTCATTAAATGTCTTTTTATGTGTCACTCCAAGAATATGTGAGAAAAAGAAGAAATGGAGAAAAGCATACCTGTTAAAACCAAGTCGGATGATTAAGCTGGCAAGTAACTAATCAAGTCTAGTTATACTGCAATCAAGCTCTAGCTCTCACTGTTAGTCATTCATTTTATGTTGGGTTTTTTGTTGTTGTTGTTTTTCTTTTTTTTT